TATAATTTATTAGTGAACATTGAATGATGATAATGATTATATCTCAAATATTTATTGCCCATTAAATTGTATGTATTCCTACCATTATAACAACATTTGGATAAACCACGTACATTTAATGATATTTATTCAAGTCTATTTCCTGTAGCCCCTACGGAAGTGCCCACAAGCTAAGATCAGTTAAATATCATTTATTTTTTAGTAAACAATCTTGCTTCAGTGAGAGTAAACCCTCAAATAACTTCCTGGAAGTCATCTTGTCATGTTTCATCTGTGTACAATCACATTTTCATAGCCTGAATAATCCCCAAGGTTAGCTTTAGCCTCCAATCCACAACCATCAAACAAGCCGTGTTTGAAATATGAAAACCGGGCCTTTGTGCAGGAATTATTCACCATCTGCTAAGGTTTATTCTGTGCATGTGTGTATGTGTACGTGTGTGTTCACAAGCAGGATGTGTGTGTGTGTGTGTGTGTGTACAGATTTTTTTTGCCTTATTTACTCGGTGAGTCATTCAGAACGAATGTTTTGTTTTGTCTCTTCCTGTTTTCACTCTCCTTCCCTTTGAGTATCAAAAGGCAATATTTTTCTGCACTTGTTTTTGTGTTTTGACACCTCTCCTCTTAGGTGTGATGATGCACTGACATTATCAAATATGTCCTTCACTGTCGCTCATTCACCTTTCTGTCATTTTTGATCTAACAGTAGCTTTGGGCAAGATTCAGCCTAATGCCTGCTTCATGTCTCCTCTGTGTTTTTATCTTCTTCTTCCTCTTTGTCTTATTATTTGCAAAGAACTCACAAAGGTGTTGGTCAACTTTTAAATTCTACTGGTTAAATTGATTGTGAGGGATGTGACAGACCACGTAACACATTGTCCTCTTTTTTAATCATCTTGTGGTGTGTGCTTTGTACTAATACTATAACGTTGTCCTCTCAAAAGATCCATTTGAATGTGTTGGGTTTGAGAATATTGTTCTTGATTCCCCAAACTAATTAATAAGATTATTGGTAATCTAGTAATACCTAAAATCGATTCCTGAAAGATTATACGGCTAATCTGTGCTCTGCTTTTTATATTTCTTATGAATAGACACATTTATGTACTTTAAACACATAAACATTTGCAGAACATTACACAGACAACACTGAGCACAAAGGAACACAGTTTTGGGTAAAATAAAAGTTGCACTGCGTTTGCTGCATCTACAGGTCAGTCCAGGCCAGTGGTTTGCACAAGGTGTTGTGTTGTGGCAGCATATCTGTGAAAACATACATTTTAAAGTCTAATAACCATTGTATCTTGAAAAAGTTACTATACCATTTAAAGTTTCCCTCCACATGTTGAGACCACCCTCTGCTTCTGCCTGTCTATTGTCTACGTATGAATTGTGAGTTCGGAGACCGCCTCACAGCTGCCTGGTTCTTACCTGAAGCCAAAGTTGAATATGCATGAGTCCATCCTGATAAACTGCTGCTATCAGCACGAAAGTCAGGAGGAAGCCCCACTCAGCAGATGGAAGGAATCAAAGAAATACTTAAAGAAAGACACACCAGAAGACCAGGTGAAACATATCTTCAATGGCAAAGAAGAATGCTAACCATGTTTGTTGATAATGCCCTTGCAAAGACAATGACAATGCCACGTCCCGGCTGTGTGTTTGTGTGTTCTGTGCTGTTTGTGTACTTGAATATAAGTGCTCAGATGTGTGTATGCAAGTGCTTTGGTGAGTGTCTGTCCATATCATTTTGCTTGAAGCTCTGGACAGTTGCCAAGCAACTGTGGCAGGCAGCGCAGCACTCGACCGGGCACACACACACAGACACACTCTGTAGTGGTGTGGCAGGTCAGTGTTCATGTTTTATCCTAGTCACTCACTAGGCTAATGTCCAGTCAAAAGGAGATGCACCAGGGATTATAGGGTTGCAGCACACACTACTATAATCATTCATATGTTTCTGACCTCACGCATGACACTCATGAAATCACATCACCATATCTATTATGTGTTTAATTGAGTTACATCTGTTGAATGTAGAAAGAATGTCATATGTCATCCATGATGAATTAGCATTTTTGTAATCATCATCTCATTTTGGGAAGTTTTTGCCAGCAAACCTTTTTAAAGGTAAATGTAAATCAAAAAAAAGAATAACATGTTTATGTCTGTGTAGGTGGATTTCCTCTGGGCACCCAATGTTTCCCCAAGAAGTCAAACATGGAGGATGGGTCTAATCCTAGCTATGTTAGTCCTGACTTAGATGACCTCAAGATAAGCAGCTGGCTCAGAGGCGTTCACCACTCTTCTCAGATTACGCTAACAATGTTGAAGAGTGGGTCAAATGCAGAAAAACGGCTCTCTTACCTAATCCATAGTTACAAACATCTGTTTGTCTAGTTCTAGTTATTGATCTGCCTTTAGTTGGGAATTTATGCAATGTTTGGAGCAGGTTTCAAATTATTTTTCACAACCAGATTATACTATTGCATTTATCCAATGTATTTAAGAAGACTGTCGTAATGGTGCATTCATTATCATGATCAGCCTCATCATGGGCATCATAAGTACCTCTACCTCTAACTCACTGCTCCACTCTGTACACTGTGCTGACTGGCCTCTTGTGCCATCTGCTCTTCCTGCTTTAGGCTCCGGCATTATAGTTTGTTTGAATCCCCTCTGAGTAACAAGTGTTTCATAGTTTGTTCCTGTACAAATATTTAGCCTACACAACTATATTTGGGCACATAACAACAAACAAGAGTTGTATAGTTTGTATGATTTATAATTACAAATTCACATTATTTATGTCCCATTTTCAGTGTTATTTGGCAGCAGGTAGTACACTGGCCAGCTGCTGCAACAACTGTTTGGTTCAAAGTGCACACAAAGTGGTTGTTGCAGATTCTACCATATGACAAACAGTCCCTGATGCAAGATATGCTCTGCCTCACACTATTAACTTTATGCATTAGGCTGTAAGAACAGGATAAACTCCAATGAGAAGGAACAATGTCAAATCAACTGTATGTCAAACACTTTCATTATACACACATAATTCATTCTAAGCATTCAAATAGATTGTGGAGCTAGTGGTGGTAGAAGTAGTTCCATAGAGCTACTATAGTATATCAGTGTACTTTAGTATACATGTATATTTTAATGAGACCATAAAGAAAGAGCTTTTACTGTCTTGGAAGCTATACAGCAAAACTATGCATTGTCTGAGTCTTCAGCTGCTGTTGTTGTTGCTGTTGCTCAGGCTAGATTGGGATGATACCTTCTCAATTTTAAAATTTAAACTAGCAACACAAGTGACTTATGTGTGGTTCATCCTGCTTCCTGATTGGAAATACACTGTAGCTTACAATAGTTTAACTCTGACTTATTTTCCCTGAGTGCAACCAATTGCCTGATGAATGATCAAATGTTGACCTAACTATAGGTAGATCCCTTAACGGCCAGAACGGAGATGGAGGGTCAGGGTGTGAAATCTTACTCACGCACCCCCCTGGGCATCACACCATGTCCCACACTTTTTACACTTTTGTAGATTATAAAAAGCAAGTATACTGATCTTAAAATGTGTTCAACTTCACACTTCACTTTGTGCTGGTCTGTCACTAAATAAAGTGTCAATATCATGTCACTTTGTAACAAAATAATATGGAAAAGTGTATTAGTATGAATACTTTTTTCAAGACACAGTGTCTTTATATCTTTCAATCCGCAATAAGTCAGGTTGGGAGGTAAAACTGAACAAAGATGCTTTCCTTTGTAACTGAGGTCTGAACCCTGTTTTCCTATTGAGGATACCGTCTCTTGTGTGGTTTATTTATAAATGTTATCCTGGGCCCTACAGGTCTATTAGGGAACATTAGTCTCTGTCAGAGGCACACATCAGTGGCTGCTAACCGGCTCTCATTACCTCAGCATCCTGAGTAGCACCTACACAGCGGCCTCCATAGAATATCAATCACAGGATCAACACTCATGCTTCATTAGTCTTATTCTCTTCGTAAATAGAGCAGAGTTTCATTTACACATGCTTTGTTAACATTTTATTCTTGTCATCTTCAACTTCATGAACCAGAATACACCTCCACACAGAATAAACAGTTTAGCCAAAGCTTTCATGTCCAAAAAAGTGTAAGAGATGGTTTTGAAGTGCTAAACAAAAAAGGTTGCACGGGCAAAATGAACTCCTTTGTAGACACAAGGTGACGCATCCAGTATAACTGTTCATATGTTCCTTTACTGACTCCCTGTGGCAGCACTTATGCTGCCATGGTATTCTTTCTTCATTCTTCCAAATCTCCTCCACTAGACATCTATTACAACTAATAGTTCCAAAATGCGATACCTACCTCCATGTGTTTCATGATAGATAGTATTGTTTCTTAGTATAATGTTCAATAAGTCATTTAGCAGATTGTGTCAGGAGGTCAATAAGCCAATAAGCATGCTAAAAGGTAGCTAAGGAGTTTTATTTATTTTTTGGCCCATAATGTCGCTCTGTAGCAATACATTTACATATAATACATGTTTGCAATATGGATATTAAACGTGTCATTTCCACAGAAACTGTTAGTTTACCAATCCAGGTTCTAAACTGTGGGTAAAATAGCCACAGTAATTATAGCATGTGCCATTTTGATGGTTTAGTACAGTTTTCTTCATAATCACTTGGATATACCCCTGCAGGTACTAGAATAGTACATTTATTTAATCACTGGCTGTGGTTTGTTCAGCCTAATTTATTGTTTTGTGTTCCCTTCTGTTCATTCCCCCATCACCATGCTCTAAGTGGGAGTATTAAAGAATGTAGAATTTGGCAAAGCTCACAGTGTTAACATCGCAGCAGACTTCACAGGAGATGGAGAGATTCTATACAATCACACGTTTTCATCTTCTGTCTGCTGCTTTTAATAATAGATCACCATGTTGCCTTATTGAAACTGTTTTTTCCTTCCTGTGTTTGTTGTTGTTTTGACCGGCAGGTTTCCTCAGCACCGGAGACCAGTCAGCAAAGGGGAACTATGGCCTGTTGGACCAAATCCAGGCTCTGCGCTGGCTAAATGAAAACATTGGGCACTTTGGAGGGGACCCAGAGAGAATCACCATCTTTGGCTCTGGAGCAGGAGCGGCCTGCGTGAACCTCCTGATCCTCTCTCACCACTCTGAAGGTGAGGGCTTATTCTCACCATTAACTATATTTGATTTATGCACAAGTTTACAACCATCAAGCAATGTTGCACAGTAACTAATTCATGTTTATTATAAGCATATTACGTTTTTGACATTTAAGGATACTCCTGACATCTGTGAGTATAAGTGGACTGAATAGATATATCATAACAATATGTTATTCCTGACCACATTCACCACCTTGGGACAAGCTCTGAGATAATCTTTAACTGTGCCTTTTCTCATGGAGCTCAAATCACCCAGCTATACTAACATAAATTAAATCTACCCCATCATGGGAAACACATTAAGCACAATTCGAGGCGAGACTAGACTTTTAGGTTTTCATTATACATTTTTCATCAACACTGTTGAATGCATTTATTTGTTAATAAAAATTAATATACACACATACAACCCAGGTCAAAGATCTACACATTACTGAGAGATTAAGGAAAACACTTAAAATATGAATTGTTAAATATATTAGTTGATGGTAGTCTCTTCAGTATTGTGGATACATGCTGTGGACAACTCCAAGTAGGCAATGTCGATAAAAGTAATAGAAACCCACAGCGAGTGAGATGTTTTGCATTTGCCTGCCTCTCTTTGCAAGCCAGATATTGACAATAAAATAGATAAATAAACAAATTCAAAAGTGTGGCTCTTGCAGTTATATTTGTGCCACAAAGTAATGTACTGTGAGTTTATTTGGAAGGGATTTTATGGGATATACCAGATGCTGGGTCACTAATCCCTTGAAGGGATATCCAAAAGGTGACTCTCTTTCTATACTTAAGCGACGGATTATGACTTACCGTAGATTTAAATCAAATGTATTGATTGATATGATGGTATTACATGAATTGTGGCCATATCTGCATGTGAGAGCAGAAATAGCCACAAGCAAGACAGACCTCTGGGAACACAAACAGTCTTTGTGTCAAAAAATCTCTATATAAAATTATCATTGTGAGAGTCATCAGTATATAACCCTTACCCCTGACTCACGCTGCACACTGGATTGCTGTCTCAGGACTTGTCTGGAACTCACACAAGCTGCTGTGGTGCTGCGGAGGGTTGTGGAGGGCTGTGGAGGGCTGCGGCGTGCGGCCAAAAATAGCTCAGAGACTCCCTCATGACTTTTCATTGTAGGCCTACAGAAAGACAGTGGTCACCACACTGCACCCAAGTGTGCAGCCTGGCTCCGTGCCAACATAGACTCCGACTCCGGTGCAGGACATATTTAAATGGGGTTGGCTGCAGCTTTTAATGTGTACTGGATCCAGTTTACTGTGGTCCAGTTTTACCCAAAGCCAGGAGGGATAAACGTGAGGACAGATACTAAACAGGAGACTTGAGCAGACCACTGGGAGTCCTGCAAAAAATAGATCCTTTCCTTCTACCTGCACTCCCAATGTATGTTGGCAATAAGCATCTTCCTCCGGGTCCTGCAACAACTTTGTGTCAGTGAAGACTGCGTGAGCCTGGGGTTACACACACATATGCATATGACAAATGAAAGAAAAAAGGGCACCAAAAGGAAATAAATCTTAATATTGATGTTTTTAAAATTGGTTAGTTATGTATTCTACAGAGGAAATGTATTACTCTCATAGACTATATTTATTGTTGCAACTTGCATTTAATCCATTCAACATTATGAAATATATTACTTTGTAGATCCTGTGCTCGGTCTGAACTGCATGCATCCATTTTGAAGAAAGACTGTATAATGGCTGGAAGTGTGAGAAAAGTTGAACAGTTTGTGGGGGTACTGTACGAGCGGATGAGAGATGAGCTGCTGCCGAGAGCCTTCCTAATTGATTTCACTGGGAGAGGAGCGGGGGTGGGGCACATGCAGAATATGGCAAAGGAGGGGGCTTAATTATTAATGACAGAATCTGTGGATAAAACTGAGGGACAGCAAGCCATTTTACATAATAGCGCAACAGTGCAAGATGCATTTTTCTATTTGCCTCACCATCCATCTCCTCCCTGGCATTATCTGACACATCAAGACCACTGCTGCGTGTTGATTCTTTGCCATTTTTCTTCTTGCTGTCTCTGGTCATTTGTAATGGGAGCATATATTTCCATGGCCTGAACATTCATAAAGATTTTCCCCAGCAATGCAACACAGCTGGATATCGCCTTCATCTTGCTTCATATGTAATACTCCACTTTTGCTCCTCCTCTAACATATGCATTATTGAACACGCTCACACTCCTGGCTCTCCAAGGCCTGCTAAGTGTGTCAGGGAGAAAAATGTGCTAAACTGATAGAGAAATATACGATTGTAGGTTGTTAATATTGGATTATACTTTTCTTCCTACAGGCCTGTTCCAGAGAGCCATTGCACAAAGTGGTTCAGCTATTTCCAGTTGGTCGGTAAACTACCAGCCCATGATGTACACTAAGACCTTGGCTAAGAAGGTGGGCTGTAGCCTGGGGGACATGGCAGAATTGGTGGAATGCCTGAGGAAGAAGAGTTACCGGGAACTGGTTGATCAGGACATCCAGCCGGCTCGATATCACATCGCCTTTGGGCCTGTGGTGGATGGGGATGTGGTTCCAGATGACCCTGAGATTCTCATGCAGCAGGTCAGAGCTAACACTTCAGTTGGAAAAACTGTGACTCTAGTTTTTTGTGTAAAAATTATTGATATTATACTATGTATGTATATATATATATATATATATATATATATATATATATGTATATATATATATATATATATATATATATATATATATATATATATATATATATATGTATATATGTATATATATATATATATATATATATATATATATATATATATATATATATATATATATATATATGTATATATATATGTATATATGTGTGTGTGTGTATATATATATATACAAATATATATAGTGCCATTTTTGTTGAGGTAGTTAGCACTCCAGCATCACAGCAAGGTTCGATCCCACAGCTGTACGACAGTTTGCGTGTGTTCGTGTCTCTGTCTCTTTCCTCTGTGCTCTCCATATGCAAATAAAATTCCTTCAGCCCTGGTCCTGACCAAGCTGACTGTTAATATCTAGAGGGATGCTGCAGCTGGTTGTAGGATCAATTAAATGTAACTAAAACGTATCAGGGGTGTGTTCTCTTAAGAAACACACCACAAAATATGTAAATGGTTAATAAATAAATAATACATTTATGTTGTGTTGACAACAGGGTGAATTTTACTGAATAATAAATGTATGTTGTGTCTACAACAGGGTGAATTTCTGAACTATGACATCTTGCTCGGAGTAAACCAGGGAGAAGGTCTAAAGTTTGTGGATGACAGTGAAGGAGAAGATGGAATATCTGCGGCCTCATTCGACTATACCATCTCCAACTTTGTGGACAACCTTTACGGATATCCGGATGGTCAGACTATACTTCTTTTTATAATGATATGTATTACTAAAGTATGTAGTATTTGCTTACATTAAACAATATATTGTGTTTGTATATTTTAAGAGTTTGTTCAGTGAAACTGGACAAACTCTTGATATTGTTGATCTAAGATTCTAAGCATGACTCTTGTTTAAAAAATGAGTTCTCATTTAGATTTCTTGTTTTTGGCAAGGTAAAGGTATCCTCAGGGAGACCATTAAGTTCATGTACACAGACTGGGCCGACAGAGACAACAGTGATATGCGGAGGAAGACTCTCCTGGCCCTGTTCACAGACCATCAGTGGGTAGCCCCCGCTGTGGCCACGGCAAAACTTCACGCTGAGTTCCAGTCACCCGTCTACTTCTACACCTTTCACCACCACTGTCAGACCGAGGCCCGGCCGGAGTGGGCTGATGCTGCCCACGGGGATGAGCTCCCCTATGTATTCGGGATCCCTATGATGGGGGCCACTGACCTGTTCCCATGCAACTTCAGCAAGAACGATGTGATGCTCAGTGCAGTGGTCATGACGTACTGGACAAACTTTGCAAAGACAGGGTACGTATATTAAAACCTCAGAATTTAGAATGCATTTACGCAAATACTTTTCTTTTACTCTTTTTGAACAAATACATAGTTCATTCTAGGGATAAAAAAAATCAGATGGCAAGCTTTCTTGGATTAATGATTCTATCTGTTTAGGCCAAGACAGTAGATATAATTGACGGCGGTATTGAGCAAGTGGTGAAAAGGTGGTACTGCACCCTGAACTCCCCAGAATGGGGACGGCGCTATTGAGCAAGTGGTGAAAGGTGTTACTGCACTGTATTTTTCAAAGAGGTGTCACTTTTGAATGTTTAATGAGTTACCCTCTGCCTGGTTTGTAAGTGTGGTTCACAGTTGTCTAAAAGTGATTTATTGAGCAGTGTTTAGCGTAACACATGTGTAGGGTCACACAAGCTTATTCTAAAACAAACAGTGATGGCTTAGTTAAGGGAGACACGTCAATAACTAATTAATCTACACGGAGGACCTGCCCCAGACCTGTCAACCTATAGCAAACACAAACCGGCGGCGTTCTCAGAGCGGGGCTCCTCCTCGCGCCCCCCCCAGAAACGTTTTAACCACCGGATGAGAAACGGCTGTGAACCCCCCCAATCCTCGTGGACCCGATGTATATGTCTGCCGCGAACACCGCCAAGTGGCGACAGCCCTCCCATTGTCAAAAAGCATTCTGTATGAATCCCAGGACCCCCTCCAGCGGGCAACGCCTGGATCCCAGAACAGAGAACCACACCAGTCCTGCAGAGGCCTCCACCTCGTGCTAGGCCCCTCACAGTGGAAGGCGCCCTCGCCCCCTGAATGGTCTCCACCACCGCAGGGGAAGACGCCAGGTCTAACGAGGTCCGCCTCTCAGCCTCCAAACCCAGAGCCTGCGGACGATTATCGGCGTGAAAACAGGGTTTTCCCCCCCCCTGGACTAGACCCCCTGCTCGTCCGGGAGGCCAGGGCTCCATCACCGCCAGCCCCTCAGAAGGGGACCCAGCGTCTGCTGATACTGTCCGGAGTCCACCAGGGATCACCTACCTCCTCTCCTGTTCGATCCTCCGCAGCAGGACCGCAGGAAGACGCAGCTGGTGTGAAAGCGCACAGACAGGCCCTCTGGCCAGGGTAATGAGCCAGAGCGCCCATGCCTAAGAGGCGGGCTCGACCCGCGGCCCTTAAGGCGAACCAGGACGGGCACTGTGCGTTTTCTGCACTGGCGAAAGGTCCACCACTGACGGCACGAACCTCGCCAGATCTCCGCAGCTACCCGTGGGGCCAGGCCCCACGCGTCCTGGATGGGCCCCCCCTGGACATCCGTCCGGCCCCACGTTCCGGACCCCCGGGACGTGGCGCCGCCTGGATAGAAACATGAGGTGAAGCCTGCCCACATCGCAGCGTCACCGTCGCCATGCGATGGTGGTGGCTGTCGGGAGAATTGCAGAGCTTAACCCCTGCGCAATGTTTTTCTCAGCCATAGATCTGTCAGCAAACCTTGCATCCATCCCGATGCTGTAGAAGTCCTGTGAGGGGCGGAACGGGAGCTGGAACACGAGACGTCACGGCCCCGCCCTCTCACTGGTGTACCTCGCAGGGAGGGGGGGTGACGAAATGGTGCCGGGGGGACCACCCTGCGTCACACGTGAGCGCCGGGGGCGGTCACATGTCCTGCAGCCCGACAGTCATAAGGTACGGAATGCTCAGCCCACGTGACGCCGGCTGCTGTGCCCGCCCCTCTGCTCTTGCCTCACAGGGGAGGGGGGGGCGAGCCCCTGAGGTGGAAACCCCGTATTAAGCCTTGTAGCTCAGAGATGCTAACCCGCGTTCGGCAGAATCACACACACCACTACACCACCAGACTCCCTCCAGCCTGACCTCTCTCTGGGAGGCAGAGTAGGGATCAGAGTGGCCGGGACGCTGGGGGGGGGGGGGTAGCGCGCGTAGCGCACTGGCAAACCCGCTCTGGGGGCTGGGCAGGCCTAGCGAAGCAACGTTATGTGCTCGAGAAGTAACACAATCAGAATTCACATTATTTGACATGATTTACCAGACCCCCAAATGAGACCTCTAGAAACAAGTAATGAGAAAATCCGGTCCGGACCTTTATGAAGGAAAAATTCCACCCCGCCTCCTCTGCAATAGGGAGTTCGCGGTGGGTGCTTGCTCCCAAGCCGAGCCACCCGTGGGGCTTCTGGACTCCGCGGGGGCCACGTCGAGGGGGGACGATGGACAACAGAGCGCGGATACGGGTCAGATGCCTCCCGGGCGATCGCTCTCTGCCTCTGTTCCCGGCTACCGTGATGGTTAGGTGGGGCCTCGCGCCTCGGGGCTCAAGTGCGGGGCTAGCCTAGCCGAGTCCGTTGGCTGCAGACTCCAGTCTCGCACCCAAAGCCTGCATGTCCGGGCCGAAGAGGGACGTCTGAGAGATGGCAAGGTCCAGCAGCTTCCTCTTCTCCGCCTCCCTGATATTCGCCAGCCCAAGCCAAAGCCCTGGCCCCGACTTGGGCTGCAGCCATGGAGCGGCCACCGTCCACGCCGAGCGTCTGGCACATGCGCAAATCGCCGCCGAGGTGGTCCCTCGCATGTGACAGGAGGTCTCCACTGAGCGCCTGGCCATAAGAGAGCGACCTATTCAGCCCTCGGAATAATGCCCATGTTGTTAGCCAATGCGACACCTGTGCCGCCTTGGCATAACATCTATCCAGCATCGGCTAGACATCCTGTCCCGCTCGGAGGAAGGAGAGGTCTGGTGCCGGCAGTGGGCGGAGCCGAGGGGGTACCCGGGTGGCCAAAGCCACCCTCTAAAAATATCCTTGCCACCCCCAGTGCCCCCCATCGAAGACGGTATGTAAATAAGTTTAATCTTGAGAATCTCCGCACTTTTTTCCGCCAAAAGCTAACAAATTCCACGTTTTCCCGTCCTGTGAACGCACCCTGACTCCGCGTGGAGGCCTTACATCTAATACAGCCATGGTGTGGGAGCCAGTGCTGTAGCAAATGCATTGGGTGTTGGACTCAGTGTGCCCAAGCCCCGGCGATCCAAGATGGCGCCCTAATCAAATGAATGGTTGTGCTCAGTGGAGACCTCCCTGTCACAGGCGAGGACCACCTCGGAGGCGATCTGCGCATGGGCCAGAACGCAAGCCGTGGTACGGTGGCCGCTCCAGGGGCTGCAGGCCCAGTCGGGGCCAGATGCACCTTTGGGCTTGGTCTGGATAATAACAGGGAGCGGAGAAGAGGACAGCTGCAGGACCAGCCCATCCTCTCAGACGTCCCTCTTCGGGCCCGGACATCAGCCTTGGGGCGAGACTGGAGTCTGCACCAACGACTCGGCTAGGCTAGCCCCCGCACTTAGCCCCGAGGCGCGAGGCCACCCAACCACCACGTGAGCCGGGACTGAGGCAGAGAGCGTTCGCTCCGGGAGGCATCCTGACCCTTATCCGCGCTCTGTTGTCCATCCGTCCCCCTCGACGAGGCCCCCGGGGACCAGACAGACCCACGGGTGGCTCCGGTAGCAAAGCGCAACCACGCCGACCTCCCTATGGCAGAGGAGGTCGGTGTGGAAATTTTTCCTTCAATAAAGGCCGACACGGCATTTCCATCATTACTTGTTTCTAGAGTCTCATTTGGGTATGGTAAACATGTCAAATAATGTGAATCTGATTGTGTTACTTCTCGAGCACATTAACTTTGCTTTCGCTAGCCTGCAGCCCCCAGACAGGGATGTGCAGTGCGCGACGCGAGCTACGAGCTCCGGCCCTCATGATCCATACTATGCCCTCCCAGAGAGAGGTCAGCGGAGGGATCTGGTGAGTAGTGGTGTGTTGCTTCGCCGAACGCGTTTTAGCATCTCTGAGCTACAAGGCTGAATACGGGTTTCCCCACTCCAGGGGCTGCGCCCCCCCTCCTTGGAGGAAGCGCCAGGGGGGGCACAGGCAGCCGATCACGTGGGATGACAGTCCCGTACTTATGACGTCGGGCTGCAGGACATGTGACCAGCCGCGCCGGCGCTCACGGTGTGACGCAGTGGGCCCCCCGCCCTTGCGTCCACCCCCCTCCTTGCGTGGACACAGAGAGGGCGGGGCCTCGGACGTCTCGTGGTTCCAGCTCCGTGTCCGCCTCACGAGACTTCTACAGCAGCTGGAGGGAGCAAGTGTTTTGCGACAGAATCTATGGCAGGAGAAAACATTGCGCAGGGGTTACGCTCTGCAATTCTCCCGAAAAGCCACCACCATCGTCATGGCGACGGTGACGCTCTGCTGTGGCGCGCTTCACCCTCCTGTCTCTCAGGTCGCGCCCCGTCCCGGGGTCCGGAACGTGGGGCCGACAGGATGTCCAGGGGGGGCCCACGTCCAGGACGAGTGTGGGCCTGCCCCACGGTTAGCGCGGCGAATGGCGGAGGTTCGGCCGTCCATGGTTTAACTTTTCGCCAGTGCAGAAAACGCACAGTGCCCCGTCCTGGTTCGCCTTTAAAGGCCTGCGGGGACAGCCGCCTCTAGGCATGGCGCTCTGGCTCATTACCCTCCTGGCCAAGGGCCCTGCTGTGCGCTTTCCCAACCAGTGGGGGGGCGTCTCCTGCCGGTGCCTGCCTGCGGAGGATCGGAACAGGAGAGGAGGGTCGGTGATCCTGGTGGCTCCGGGACAGTCCCCCGCGGGTTCCCCTTGCCTGAGGGGCATGGCGGTGATGGAGCCCTGGGCCCTCCCGACGAGCGGGGGCGCTAGTCCGGGGGGGAACCCTGTTTTCACGCCCGATAATCGGCCCGCAGGATCTGGTTTTGGAGGCTTGAGAGCGGAACCGCGTAGACCTGGGTCTTCCCGCCTGCGGTGTGGAGAACCATTCAGGGGGCGAGGGCGCCGTCCACTGTGAGGGGCCTAACGCCCACAGGAGGAGGCTCTTCAGCGACCTGGTGTGGTTCTCGTTCCTGGGTCCCGAGGCGTTTGCCCGCTGAAGGGTGCCTGGGATTCCTACAGAAGCTTTTTGACAAGGGAGGGCTGTCGCCAACCTTGGCGTGTTC